GGAACACAAGCCTTTTTCACTCTCATCACCAGTGCGACTGCATTCTGGCCCCTTACACAGTCACTTTGCAGAAAAAGTAGATTTTTGTACTATACAAAGAAAGTGAATTCTGATTACTTCTATGAGCAACATATGTAGAGGAGGAGATTTAACAAGGCAGAAACTGTAGCAAGACAGCGACTGAATCTTCTGAACATCCCTTAACGGATACCAAGTTTAAAGGGCACTTACTAAATGCTAACCATGTTTGCCTCAGCTGCAGGTGCACTCTCAAGTCTGTCTGGAATCCAGTACCAGAAACAGTGAGCTCAGATCCAGGTACTCCTTTAAGATGGTCGTACTCCCAGCGACAATGCCGGATGCCTGTTAAAAATCAATCAATATCAAATGAGCGTTTTTGAAGAGTGCAAAGACAAGGTTGGGGTTATTTAAATCTTTGACAAGTGAAGCGTTTTGTCCTCAGCATGTCAGGGAAGCAAAACTAAACACGCGTTACTGCGAGACTAGCCAGCTATAACATCACATCTACAGATAAGAAAGATCAGTACAAGTGAAAGCGGACTAAGTACACTGGGGGTAAATAGTTCAGGTTACTACATCTGGGGCTAAGTATCAGCACAGCTGGATTCTTACGAAATTTTGCTGCCATTTAGGCCCTTCTCATTTAGTGGAGTCTAAACCTAGGCACTAGTTCTCCCAACTACAGCATTTAACTGATGTAATCACTTGCTTTCCTTGCCCAAAATCATGCAATAAGGAAAAACAGCCTCAGAGCCTGGAGGATTACACCTACCATAACCTATAATTCCAGTCACGCCAAAGATGAAAATCCAGAAGAGAATCCCAGCTGTGAACCTCAATAACACAAGGAAGAGCAGACTCACAATCATTGCAACGAACAGCCCACTAGAAAGACAAGAAACAGAAACCCAGGGAGAACAAGTGTGAGCATCTTTCTTGCACGCCTCTTACTCCAAATGAGGGTCCCTTCGTCTCGTGTAGGAGAACGGTTTGCAAAAATGTATTTCAAAATCTTCCTTATGAAATATTTCCTCACGGCTCTCTGCTGTTAGAAACAGACAGATTATATATGATGATCTGGACACAGCCACAATTGTCTGCGTACACCGAGTTCTCAGGGCGTCTGAATGGGACCAGCACACGTCTGGTTTGATCATTTACACTGGCTGACCAACTCACTGCCTTTTCCAGGCCATGGCCTAGTCTACAGCACACAAACTTAAATGGGAGAAATACCTGTGTGTGGGGAGGTTACTGGTTTATGTCCTCCATTTAAAATCCCTGCTTGCACAGAAACAGTATTATGAAAGTAACATTTTAGGAGCTTTCCTAGAAAAAAAAGAACTCATTTTAGGAGGAAAACCAGTGATCCTTTCTACCCATCGGAGAAGAAAATGATCAGGGCATAGTGATGCATAAAAAGAACCTGTTCAGAGCCATCAGTGGGAGCCCTAGGATGGACATCTCCAGTGTCTTTATCAAGTCTGTGCTAAGGAAACATTTGCTTTCATTTCACTCCCAGAAAGCAAGTCAGAAAGGAAAGAATGACTGCAAAAGGCCTTTACTCAGCGGGTTTCTTCTAAAGCAATGCAAATAAAGCAGTGGGAACAATGGTTCCATCCAACAAAGATCCAGCTCAGACGCTTCACAGAACATTTCATTTCTCTACAACTCTGAGGTGTTACATCAGAATTTTGTGTTAGAACAGACTCAAAAGAAATGAAACCCTTTTCTTCCCTGTGGTCAGGGACTTCTCTTCTGAACGTTCCCAGCTTATTTAGCCAGAGACTAAAGATAACAAACGGGTCAGCCTGACCACAAACAATCAAAACCGGATGTCTTGGGCAAACTAAGCCAGACAGGCAGAGGGACAAGAAAAAGAACATCAGTTTATTTAGTTAAGCCTTTGTAAATTGGTCTTAAGTCCTAGCCCCTTAGAGGCTTCCCAGCATGATGTGTGTTCCCCTTCTGAATGGCTTGTTTGAAATTCAGAATGCATTCCTCAAAAAAAGCACTGTCATTTTGGAGTTCCTGACTCTGTTCTTCAAGGCAGTAAGATACCTTTATCTAAGGTTAGCTTCATATTTGCTCTAGTAACACCAAAACTGAATGAATACATGGTAACAACTGTCATTAATAGAGTGCTTCCCTTAAACTGAGCCTTGAAAGCAGCAGTTCTTTGGGAGTAGGATAAAAAGAACAGAGCAATTCCGTATTAGATTTTTAATCCCACCTCCTTTCACCATCAGGCCTTCACTCTCATCACCCAAACTCTGGCACTTTCATATGCTTGCCCAGAAATCACTGGATGCATGCTGTCATTTGGTGAAAAGTGTGAGGAAAATTCTACCCAACTACTTTAAAAGTAACAACAATCCCTTAGAAAAGTATCCTATTTGAAATGGGGAAACTGGCTTCAGTATGGAGAAAGTCTCTTCAGAAAATGGTCAAGTCTCTCTCCAGCCCATCTGTTGAGCAGCATCTCCTTTGAGAGAATCTTCACCATAAGCCTGATTTCAATAACAGATCTAGAAGGAACGGCCATTTAGGCATATATACTCACAGATCTGCTGCAGCAAAATAGCTACTTCTTTTGTTTTGGTGCTGCATTTTTATTAATTGCTCATTATTGAGTAAGAATTGCAAGATAAAGCTAACTCTGTTCAGTAGTTTTTGTTCTTTAAGTTGCTTTGCCTGCTGCACTCGATTTGTGTATTACAATGAATTTAACTACATATTGCTAGTATCAATTTGGAAATTGGGATGTGTTTTATATAGATACTCACGACATTTAGCAACTGCAATTGGTTTGAAAGTCTCGTAATCAAGAATTTTTAGGTTTGGAATTACCAGGCAGATGGGTCCTGCAACAGAACACAGCAGCACCTCTTGGCTTTCTGCCTGGTAGGATATTCAAAAGCTACTCCAGACCATACTGTATGCATGTATGCTGTGCTATCCCTACCTCACATACAGAACCATAACAACATTACGGCAAAGCTTAAAAGTAGGTTTGGTAACAAACACGTACGTGATCAATTCTTCAATTCCCTACACATTCCATAGTGAGTTTGGAAAAACATAAAATTACCCATTAGAATCTTACATTAAAATCCAGTACCAAGAAATAGCATAGTCTTCAAAACTTTTTACTCCAATTGATCTTGCATCCAGGATATTACTGATGCTGCTGAGAAAAGACAAGACTGCTAATAGCAGAGAAGCAGAAAACAGCTCAGTGAAGCAAAAGGAGGACTTCTTGGAGTTGTTTTGCTATCCTGCAAAGTGCTTGCCCATATTAACGTTTCCTAAGAAGAAATGAAGAATCATCTTGTCAAAGCACAAACAATGTAGTTGTAGATGCCAGAAGAAGGAAACTTCCTAAGGTGCTGGTGCTAGCACTGCTGGGAAGGTGCTAGAATGTGGCAGCCTCAGATCGAGAGGTAAGAAAAGGTACCCCTGTGCTCCAGACAGGCTGAGGATGGAGAGTAGCTGGTTGCTACCCAGCATTGGAGATGCTTGCTGTCCATCTGCAAGGGAGGTGCTGTCTGGCATCAGAGCCCAGGACGTTGCCTTTTGAACTTCAGACGTGTGCTAAAACCAGGAGCATGCTGATGAGGTGAGATGCAAAAGTACTAGGACAATCCACAGTACTAGGAAGGCTGCTGTAGGAAGGAAGAGCTGAGGCCATCACTGGCTGGCCCGAGTCCTGCTGCATGAAGACTTCAATTTGAACCTCCTTTAACTTTCCTTGCTATTAATTTTGGCTAGGAAAACCAAGTGGAATGTTTTCAAAACTGACAGTCATTCTGAGGAACACTAAAGCTTTTGGCTCCTTCCTCATTTCTGCATAACACAGTGCTGGGTTTCCCTACTGGAACTTTGCAAGTGCTCAGGCACAGAAACCATCGACCAGGAAGTCTCATCCGGGTACCCTCAGCCATTTGATACAACAGATTCTGATCTTTGTTTTCCAATTCCTAAATTATTTCACAGTCTCAGAATCCAACACACAAGCACTTAAGAAGGGTAAAACCTACTTTGCAGCTCCCCTGAGGTCGGTTACGTTTCTTGTTTTCCCTCTTCCATCTTTGAAGGTAGTCTGATTTGCCACAGCCAGCACACCACTCTTCATGGAGAAGTCCAGGAAGCATCTCTTCAGAACTATTCAAAATACCAAAAGAAAGCAGGAATGGAAAGCAATAGAAAAAGGAAGCAATGGAAAAAAAGACAGAAACTATGGGTAAGACAGAGAGAGGAGGAGTTTATAAAAGAGAGAGACAAGGACAGACGTTCACATGCTCATTTATGTTGCCCTGCTCTTTGCTGCACCAAATCCTAGGTTTCATTCCAAAGGGAAGAGTAGGTTAGTCCTCTTACACAGCTGTACGTCACCTTTATCTTCTGGTTCTGCACTTTCCTTATCAGGTTCCAATAAGCACTGATGCCTGGGCTCAATATTCAGTCTGCAATATCTACTCCCCCACTTATTCTCAGGAAACACTTAACTAACATGTCTCTTTTCTTCCCTCTCTGATCTTCACCTCTGGCTGTAGGCAAAAAGAAGGTAAGAACTTCTTTGCAAATGATTTTCTGTCTTTTGGGTCAGCACATCATTTTTCATACAGATTTTTAATTCTTTAGTGCTTCATCCATTATTTTCTCTTTTTGACAGCCTGGGCCTGCATTACACAATCTCTATTTTAAAGCATGGAAAAAAGTAACAGCACTTCCTTATTTGCATGAGCTTCTAGGTCAGTGACAGATACTCTTGAGCTCTGAGACCTCTGCCTGTCTACTCAAAAGCACCTGCTGACCACAGTGACACAACCAGCTTTTTGTCCCCTTAATTCCTCTGCCGCCCTCCATAGGCAGCACTATGTGCAGCACTGAAAAGCAAGCTGCCCGGTTAACTGGGCTCAAGCACCACCTGAACTTCAACAGCTGCCCAGAGGAGCTTTCCTACAGTCGTGGCATTTCCTTCCTGCCAACAGGTTGGCTTGGGTTTGGTTGGGTGCTCACATGTTTTGGAAGGAACAGTTTGCACCGTAAACCACTTCTTATCAGTAATGATTCAAGAGCAAGAAAGAGCTCAGCTTGACCCAATCACACTCCAAGTGTCCATGGATGGCTGTCTAGAAAAAATGATGATAAAGCTTCATACTTTCAAACTGTTTAAAACTGAATGGAGGCCACTGCCAGGTAAGAGCCAGCTCCTCGTGACCTTGCCACAGAACACTTTTCAGGCTGGAGTTGTGATTTCATGTGAACGCTTACAGTCTGCTAAGATGTGTGTAAGATACAGAACCACTCACAAGGCCTGCTTGGAATGATCATCAAAGGACAATCTTCATCACGTAGAGCTTGAGCAACAGACTGAAAAGGGGAAAACCGGGAATGCTGAATACACAGCAGAATTAAATACGTGGGTTTTGTTTCCCACCCACTCTGAGAAAATGCCCCAAACTGGACTCTGTAGCCTCCTCCCCAAACATGACTGCTGGAGCTGCAAGACACATTCATGATGTGAGAATCCAGCCTCTCAATGGGATTTGGGAAAAGACTATTCATTACTTTTGTAGTGACAAGAAAGAAAAGACCTCTTCACTTTGGATCGGCAGGTAAAGCAGCAATGACTGGGCAATCGCTCCTTGCCTCCCCCTTACTTTTCTCCTAAAGAAGAGTAAGAATTTAACACAACTAACACAGCTTTAGTGCAAGGCGGTTTAGAGATGGGAGAAATCACACAGTACACTTGAGTCCAAAACCAGTTCCATGAAAGACAGACTTCTTTGCCTAGCTAAATTACTGAGGAGCTCTACACAACAGGAGCCTTAAGAACTGCTTTGAGACACTCTGCTCGACTGCTGCGGGGTACTTAAGTACTAAAGGATACTTCTCACAGTACTGCAACCACATGGGTAGCTGCAGATACTCTTTAAGGAAACAGTAATCACTGAAAGAGTTAGAGATGGGATGTGCATACAAGACCTTCATCCCTGACCAAATCACTGTCAAAGCGTATGTATGGGACAACTCCTTATATGGTGAGATCAGAATAATTCAAAGCTTTGCTGTAGCTCAGTAAAACCATGCTTATTACACATTGCTTGAAGAAACAAAATGTATTCCATCTCCTCCTGATACACACAGACCTTGTGAGGACTCTTAAAACCAGGTCTGCAGAACTGCTTCAAGTAATTCCACTGATCGGGTTTGTATCTGTAGGAAGCCTGAATATCAATGTAGGTCACAAACCTGCCTGGGCAATGTGAGACATAAGCTGCAAGAAAAGAAGACACACTGGGGGTAGAGAAGGGTAAGGAAAGTCAGTGCAACCAGAAAGCAAGAAAAAAGGCCACCTGCCAAACTGCCCTGTTCTATGGAATTGCCTTCAGTAATGCTTACTGCAGCATTTGGAAAGGGACACAATGCATTTGCCAGTGCATTTGGAAGGGTATGAATTTTAAAATCAAACAAATGTACGTCTAGTTCTTAAGCACCATGACTAAGAGGCATCTTTCCCTCCTGAGCAGCTATTTCCATGCAGAAGTGCTCTGTTGAGATCAACCGATTCACTTAATTCTCACAATTCAGGATTTAAAACCACTGGGAAACAGAGATAAGCAAAGCAAGCCGCTCGGCAGGTATCCCAGGAAGGTGTGCTTACAGCTGCCTGCTCCCAGACCTCTCAGTCTCCTCTCGAATGGCACTGCCTAAACACCAGAAATAAAACCCCAAGAGCTTCTCCTTCGGGTCTTTTCTGTTACTTGGTGTATGTTGAGAACAACTAAGAACCAGGCAGCAATGCTTTAGGACTACTCTTGCTCCAAGGTGGAGAAAAGAATTAATGATCCAAACTTGGGTACTTAGAAGCTGTGCCATTAGCGATGCCATCTGTAAGCTGCGCTGATCCTTTACCAAAAAGATTCTCTGAATGATGAAAACAACTGCATTTACTGTGAGGGTGGGGAGGCCCTGGAACAGGTTGCCCAGAGAGGCTGTGGATGCTCCATCCCTGGCAGTGTTTAAGGCCAGGCTGGACGGAGTCTTGGACGACACGATCTAGCGTGTGGTGTCACAGCCTGCGGCAGGGGAATTGGAAGTGGGTGATCTTAAGGTCCTTTCCAACCCAAACCATTCTATGATTCTGTGAAAAGAAAATGGCAGGCTCCCTACGGGGAAAAATCACGCATGAGAGAGAAACACTGTTGGGTTTGCACATTGGGGATGAGGCTTTGCAATATTAAGGTTTTGTAATACTAAGACTTTGCAATATTGGGGCTGGGGCTAAGTTACTCAGGGAACGAAACATAGGGTTTGAAATACCGTGACTTAAACAGGCACACTCTGTGCTTAAAGACAACGGCATCTGTGGGCAACAGACACGCTCTGTGGTGCAAAAGAACTCTATCTTTGTACAGCCTATGAAGCTAACCCGGTGCAAACTGCTGCTGTAGTTAAGCAGTAAGTTGGGGTACCGTGTGCCTGCCAGAGAGTTATGAAATCAAACCCTAAAAGGAGAGAAAGAAAGAAGTAAGAGGAAGGGGTGTACGAAACTGAGTAAGGGGAGGTGTAACCAGAGGCGGGACAGTTAGCACGTAGATTGTACACGTCGGATAGGCTGTAAACCTTGGAGTCCCCAACCAATGGGGTAACAAGGGAGGGAACTTGAGGATGGGAAAGGAAATACAAATCAAAGTTCTGCCTTTGCTGTGTGTGCCTGCTTGCCAGGACACCCGTTTGTGCACAAACGTTAAATAAATAGCTGCTTCACTGCTGTGTCTGACCGAGGCCTGCCTGAACCTAGAGACTGCTTCTCACCCTTCAACTTCTCAGACACCAAATCCCACGACCCATTCCCTCAGCAGGAGGCTCACCTGAGACTCCAACTTCTCGCCACCTTCCTTTTTCTGGGACGCTGCTCTGGGAGGGGCACTTTCTCGCCTGACCTGCTGGAGGCTGCTGCTTCTCTTCTCCCTGCTCTTCACTGGCATCTTCCGCACTGCTTCTCTGGGCTCGTTTCTTCCCCTTTCTCTTCTTTACCCGTCTCTGCCAGGCATTCTCCTTCTCCTTCCTACTCACCGCAGGCAAGCAGAGGGGGAAAACAAAGCAGTTGTGTATTTTTTTAACTACAGAAATCCCATGCAAACGTTTCACAGAAGAGACAATCCCCTGCAAAAAAAACGTGTTTACAAAAACCAGCACTCACAGCGACTGCAGCCGTTGGCGAGGGCCTGTGCTTGAGCTACGGCAGTAACTAAGAGTCACCTCAGTGCAGGACGCGACTCCGTGACGAAGCACGGAGCCTCCCGGACACCTGCACAGACAACACATGGCCAGGAGCCTGTCCACAGAGCACCAGGACAACCTGGGAACCAGAGACTTCCCCAGAAACAAGGCCTGGAACATTTCCAGTTCATCCTCAAATAACCTCCTGTGACACCACACTCATTTTCAGCCGCACGCAGGGACCAGGAAGGTCATACATATTTTGTACTGTAGGGTGCTGTACGCGTAGCCTGTGTACCGGGCCATCCACAGCTATCTCATACATTAAAAGCGCTAGGATTTAAAGGGCATTTGTAGAGCTTTAATGAGAGAAACTCCGTTTAGTTTTTAGATGGCATAAAATTACATGAACAAGCCCTAGATCAACTGCTCCCACATCTAAAGCCTTCAGCTCGATGACCAGGGTAAATCAGCAGCAGGGCAAAGAAAGGTTCTGGCCCTTCTCAACACACTGAGACTTGAAATGGAAATGGTACAATGGGCTGCTGAAAACCACACTGAGAGCAACGGGTGGTGGGACTTTCAAACACTGGGATACACTTAGCAAAGGCCACCTGCTTGCTCAACACCAGAGGATCTGCCAACAGGGCTGACCCAGCCCAATTACAAATTTTACATACCATAGAGGGAGATGAAGTTCCTGGGGGGCACATAAAGGATGTGCTGGGGCACATAAAGGATGTGTCTGGGTTATTGACGATTCAGGCAAAAGAAAACCCGCTCGTGGGACTGCTTTTGCTCAAAGAGCTGGGGGCATTTGGTGGGTATTGCGGGAGGGTGGGGAAGTCCGGCGTGTACCTGAAGGAGATCTGATCTGGGGTGAAAAGAGCCAGTGAATTGAACTTTATGATGCTGTGTAATACTGAATTCCATGATCGCTTCCATGGCGGCTGAACACCCATCACTGCGCGGGACACCTTGCGGCCCCTGTCCCCACCGCTGTGGGTCTGAGGATCTGAACCTGACTCCCTTGATCACCATTAATGAAGAATGGACTTTGATCAAACTGGACAAGTGTCGCAGTGATGGAATCGGAACTGGCTTCAGCATCCAACAACCCAACACCACACACCATCCATCTATCCTGCCTGGAGACACTGCTATGGCAGATGGAGCCCCAGGTCAGGGCCTGAATGAATTCAACGGACTTTTGTATGGACGGCCCATAGACTAAGGGAATGATAACTGTGTGTGTGTGTGTGTGTGTGTGTGTGTGTGTGTGTATAGGTATAAGTCTCAAAAGACAGGAAGGATGACAGTGGGAAGTGTGAGGCCTGGCATGACATAAATGGTATGGAATAAGGGGTGGATACTGTCCTGGTTGTGGCTGGGACAGTGCCCGTTTGCTTTCTAGCACCTGGTGCTCTGCTGTGTTTTGGCTTTATTCCGAGAGCAATGCTGACAACACACTGACGTTTTAGTTGTACATAAACTGGGGGGAGTTATCTGGAAGGGAAGGATCACTGCTCGGGTCGGGCTGGGTATCACTCAGTGGGTGCTGAGCAATTGTATTGGGCATCACTTGTGTTTATTGCGTTTTTTTTTTTCCCTTTCCCTTTTTTTTTTCCTCTTCTTATTATTTCCCTTATCATCATTCACTATTACCAGCACTAGTACATTGTGCTTCGGTTATTAAACTGTTCTTATCTCCACCCGAGGGTTTTTCATCCTTCCCTTCCTGCTCCCCATCCCGCTCCAGGAGCCAAAACCCAGCTCAGAGTCAACGACACCTCTGCCCCATCCCCCCCCCCTACCCCCCCCCCCCCGGGTGCCGGGGATCGGCTGCCCCAGCAGCACCTCCCCCCCCGGGGGGAAACAGCCCCCAGGGCCCCCCACAACAGCCCCGCTCCATCCCCAGGGCCGGAAAGCTGCGGGACCCCCACAGCTCCCAGCCCCCCATGCCCCGGCTTCGCAGCACCCCACACTCCCAGCCATCTCGCAGCCCCACTGCCCAGCGCTCGCACCCGCCCCCCGCATTCCCCCGCAGCGCCCGGCCCCACTGCCCAGAGCCTCGGGGGGCCGCAGAGCCCCAGCCCCGCTCCCCGGGCTCTGCAGCGCCCCCCAGACCCGCGCCGCGCCCGCTCACCCTCACCTCCTCCCGCTCTGCCGCCGCCATTGCCGGCTGCAGCTCCGCCTCACGCCCTGGGCCCGCCTCCGCCGCAGCCAATCAGCGCACGGCTCCCCCGCGCGGGGCACGCTGGGACCTGTAGTCCGGCCTCCGGCACATGCGCAAGGCCGGGAGCGTGAAGGGGGGGGGCAGCGGGACCCCCGTGAGGGGCGGGGCCTTTCCTCATGGAGGAGCCGCCCCCCATGGGATCCCAGAGGCACCGGATGGGCTGGGGTGAAGGGACCTTAAAGCTCCCCCAGCTCCAAGCCCTGCCACGGGCAGGGACACCTTCCACATGGAAGGAGCAGCTTGCTCCAAGCCCCTGTGTCCAACCCGGCCTCCAACGCTGCCAGGGATGGGGCAGCCACAGCTCCTCTGGGCACCCTGCGCCAGCGCCTCAGCACCCTCACAGGGAAGAGCTTCCTGAGAGCTTGTGAAATACGAACTCACTCCTCTAAACGAGGTAACGAGGGTTTAGTGAGGGATAAAGTCAAGAAAGCAAAAGCGCTGGGCGCCTGACCGCAGCCAGAGGCGCAAGGGATTAGCATTTGGTACAGGTTTATATACTTTCAGTATTACATCAGTTACATGCATATTCATCATTCCCGCATATAGGCGGGGGATATTATAACTAGCTTCGAGAATTTATCATCACAAGTCTCCTCCTCTTGGCGTCTGCGCACTGCTCTGTGGTGATTGTGAGCAGGGGGCCTGAGGATGAAGTAAACAGTCTTCCTCTTGTGAGCAGGGGTCTTCAAGATGCAGTAAGCAGTCTTCCTCACGGTGTACTTTTCACCTCTGGCACAGTTGGACCCCCCAGCAATCACACAACCAGCTATATCTGTAATTATTCTGATAACTAGCAAGGAT